CAGTTTATTCTGCAGTGGTGTGCTTGACTGCTCTCCAGCCATTCATCAAGGCACTGCTTTCCATTATTTGGTGCAGTCAGCTGAAACTGAGAAAGGCTTTTGGGCTGGTATGGCTCATTCTTCCTCTACTAACTCTCTGTTCTCAACAGAGATGTTCCTAGTATTTTTCACCTTGCACCCTGGATCAGTGGCCATTAGACAAGCCAGTGAAATTATATATGCAACATGGTTCTCAAATGATCCACATCCAGTTTTCATACCTGGTTTCCCAGCATGCCTTGAATTTTCAATGAGTATCATATCAAAACAGAACCAAAAGATTTCCACATCATCAATAATGATAAGACACTCTCAACATTTACATTCATCAGCTAACTCTCTTAATCCTCCTTTTACGTACAGTCATAAAGATTTTTATCTTCCTCATATTCACATTTTCTAGATACCCACCCAGACCTCAAGACTCACAAAATCAATAACCTAAGTATCATATTCTTGGCTTCTAATATTGTCAGACTCAGATTCCATCAGGCTACGGTCTGAGCTGCATTCTGATAACAGCATGAACAGAGGCTGGTTGAGATGAAATGAAATAGTTTACCGTTAATGCACACTCAACAGCCAGCCATTCTGATGATCTGTATTCATATTTATATTCTACACCTGCTGCACAGACCTCATCGCAAGCTAAAAATGTGTAGAGATGAAGAGCGGACACCTACGTACATCTAGTCTGTGTTTATCAGACATCGGTTTCGATGGTTCCTCTTTATAATTGAATGCGCAAATATTTGTGTTTACAATGAAGATGCTATCCTCTATGCCCCATTTACACTTCTACCTAATTTCAGATGAGCAGGTAAATATTTGATTCATGAGGCAGTGTCACTCGATTCTGTATGAAAGTTAATGTCACAGTGGAGAGATGTGTCAGCAGCATTCTGACTGTGAAGCACAGCAAACAACTTGACTAATCTCGTGTGTGCTGACATTGTGACTGATGATCAGTGTGCTGGTGGCCCACCTGAATGTGGACCATAATCTCCCAGCTCAGGGTGATATTGCCAGTTTCAGCTTTCACTGGAGTGGGCTCTTTGCTTTAGCACTAAAAAAAACAGCAGCTCTCAGATCCATGTGACTGTCATAAAAAAAAACTGTGAAAGGGGAAAGCACTGCCAAGGGACCAATTATAGCTTTAAGAGCTGGGCCCATAAGCAGGCTGATGTTGGAAATGTTTTGATTAAAAGCACATACACACAAAAACAAAACAATAAAAAGCTGGGATTTTAATTTATTAAGTTTAAATTTAATGTAAAAATGAGTTCATTTTCAGTTCAGGGATCATCATTCCATGTTTTTAATCTTAACCTCCCTTTATGGGATGCTGTAGGGAGGCCGAATTGGAAACATGAAGACAGAGAGGGAGAGAGAAACACTGATGTGACTTATCACATATTGGATTTTTCTTTTACTATAGCACTCCATGAGTATCATACTCATGGATTGAAGGAGGGGAGTTGCTAGCATGAAAAAAGCAAACGCTAACGGTATTCATGTTTCAGAGGGCACCAGCTACTTTCATCAAGATATCTCAGGTTACTCAATCCTCACATCACCTATTCGCTGTCATGGCAGGCAGGTTGCATGCTGTCTACTGTAAATATGTGAAAGTTGTCAACCTGCAGCTGGCCTTGACTGAAAATAAGTCGTTCACTCTTGTTCACTATAATAAATCTAAGCACTGGAAAAAGGATACAGCAATGCACAGTATTGAAGTCCTTTAGCCTGTAGAGCTGATATGCTTTGTGTTTAAGGGATGGCCTATCCTCCCCTAAGGCATATTGCAAAAGTGCAGGTTTATTCCTCATTCCATCACTTCACTGAGTCGTCTTGGATCATCAGTAGAGCAGACAACCTTCATACCTCCATTACTTCTCTCAGAACTGTTTGTTCCCTTTCAGTGGGTTCACTTTAGGACTGCCATGGCTCAACATAATCTACACTTTTACCTAGAAGCTTTTATTGTATATTTCCTTACTTATAGTGTTTATTCTTTATTTACTGTTAAAGCCACAGTGTGTTGATTTTTTTATGCACATGTTTTCAAATATCTCTTTTGTTTAATGTTTCTCTTATTAAATTATTTGTGTGCTTTGTTTAGATTAGATTAGCCTTTATTGTCTACAATAGGAGCACATTTCTTGAGAAGATGCCTCTGTGCAATGTCTCTGTGTAGAGCCTATGTCAAATGTTTCTTTTTTTCTGTTTCATTTATGAAGCACATTGTATTACATCTTAGCAAATTGTAGCAGTTTACATTAAGTAAGAGTTATACCAAGTTATACCTTTGTATGCATTGTTGATGGGGCGGCTGTGGCTCAGAGGTAGAGCGGGTCGTCCCCCAATCGGAAGGTTGTTGGTTCGATCCCCGGCTCCTCCTGGCACGTGTC